CTGCAACTACTGAGCCCATGTACTCTGGAGCCCTCGAACCATAACTAAGACCTGATGCAGCCAAATAAATAAGTAAATATATGTATATATAATTTTTATTTATATATGTTAATTTTAAATATATATGTATTTTTTAAGAAAAGGACCTGCACAGCAGGAAGTAAGAGAAACAGCAATGGAGCTGGTTCTCAGCAGAGCCTGGTAGGGTGGAAGTTCTGGTAGAAATAACTTGAGAGCAGTGGAAAGAAAGATCTGAAAACCCCAGGAAGCTCCCTCCCCTGGAGTGACAGGAGACCTTCTCTGTGAATAGAAGCTGAAAGGGCAGCTCAAAATCACCATGTTTGGGAACAAGCCTCTATTATATCCAAGTTCATGTCCAAAATAACCCCCTCGACCCCACCCAGTATTAGGCAGACCACTGGAGCGAAAGGGTGGGTGGACTCACAGCAGGCGTCTTCCTGAGGCCCTTTCCCTGGGGTCCTGGCTTCTGTCTGTTCATGCAAGGAGTGAATGAACAAGGCCAAACCACTCCCTTCTTGTTCCCCTGTGCGCTGTCATCTTCTTCCTGCTCTTTGTCCCCTCTTTATAACAGCAGGGCAGGGAAAGGGTTTGCTGCCAATTACTACGTTTACTCACTGGTGGCTTACACTGGAGAATGCCCCCCCACCAGTCAGCCGTGTTATCAAACCTATTCTTGAAATCAGCAACTATTTGACAGTACATGGTGCTAGATAAACTGTGCTAGATGCTATGGAAAGCAAATCAGATGCCCTGATGTTCAGGCTTTCATAGGCTTGTACACTTGGCTTTTACTGCCTAGCCGGCACCCACTGCCCCTGCGACTCTGCTTCGGAAAACAGCCCCGTGTGGTCCCAGTGGGGCTGCCTCTGCCCCCAGCCCCAGAACAGGTGATCTCACGCTCTTGCTACAGCAGGTGGGCAGGCTCCAGCTGCTCGGTGAGCTTGCCTCTGCCCACTGTGATTCGTCCAGAGGCTCACTCAGAGTGAAGTCAGGGTCTTCACCTTTAAAAGTTTATTCTTTTTTTTGGCCTTGTCGCATCTTGCAGGATTTTAGTTCCCCGACCCAGGGACTGAATCCAGACCCTTGGCAGGGAAAGCTCTGAGTCCTCACCACTGGACCACCAGAGAACTCTGAAGGGTTTATTCTTTTTGATGTGAATGAGCAAGGCAGTCTGTCACCTCAGGGGCTGCCCTCATCCCTCTCGTAGCCATGAGGAAGGGCAGCCTCAGCAGACTGACACGTGGAGAGGGCAGGGCTGAGAATCAGAGGAAGGGAAACGGCCCTGGTCAGACCACCCCTGTGCTTTGTCCTACCGCTGGACTTCTATTACATGAGCTAATAATTCCCTGCATCTTTTTTGAGACAAACTTTTCTTATCACAGAAAGTATCTAATTGATACTGCTTAGGATATATGGGCTTCCCTTGTGGTTCAGACAGTAAAGAATCCGGTTGCAATGCAGGAGACCCAGGTTTGATCCCTGGGTCAGGAAGATCCCCTGGAAGGGAATGGGAACCCATTCCAGTATTCGTGCCTGGGAAATCCCATGGACAGAGAAGCCAGGTGGGTACAGTCCATGGGGTCACAAAGAGCTGGGCACAGAGAGACTAACACTAAGATACACATTAATAAAGATAGGAAGCAACCAAGGCCATAAAAGAAAATGAGAATAAAATACTATGAATTCAGAGAAAGAATTCTTGAAATGAGGGAAAATAAAGGCTCTGTGGAAAGGCTCTTTCCAGTAGTCATGTATGGATGTGAGAGTTGGACTATAAAGATAGCTGAGGACCAAAGAATTGATGCTTTTGAACTGTGGTGTTGGAGAAGACTCTTGGGAGTCCCTTGGACTGCAAGGAGATCCAACCAGTCCATCCTAATGGAAATCAGTCCTGGGTGTTCATTGGAGGGACTGATGTTGAAGCTGAAACTCCACTACTCTAGCCACTTGATTCGAAGAGCTGACTCATTTGCAAAGACCCTGATGCTGGGACAGACTGAGGGCAGGAGGAGAAGGGGATGACAGAGGATGAGATGGCTGGATGGCATCACCAACTCAATGGATTTGGGTTTGGGTGGACTCCAGGAGTTGGTGATGGACAGGGAGCCCTGGTGTGCTGCGGTTCATGAGGTCGCAGAGTCAGACACGACTGAGCAAGTGAACTGAACTGAAAGGCTCTATGGAGGTGACACAAACTTAACTTTACTTAATTGTTAACAGTTACCAATTATTGGTGTCTTACTAAATTCAGACCTCGGGCTATCATTTTAATGCATTGGCTTATTTAATCCTCGAAACAACCCTACAAGGTAGTTACTTTTTATGAAATGAGACTAACATTTGTCTTCTCTTCCAGAATAAAGCAATTCAATTCTCAGCTAAGAACCACCTGCAATAAAGATTTCATTTCCCAGCCTCTCTTGAGTTACAGCTACAAGATAAAATTCAGGTCACAGAGATTAAGCAGAACTTGTGTGGACTTCCAAGTTTTCTTAAAGTTAGGGGCCTCTTATGCCTTCCTCCTTTCTGCTGGCTGGGATGCAAAGATCATGGCAGGAGGCCAAGCTGCCATCCTGGAAAGTGAGGAAGCCACACACCAAGGATGAGGGCAAAGAGCCTGGGTGCCCTGATCATGTTGCGAAGTCTCCCTCCCCAACCTGGCCTGCCTACCTAGATTCCTTTTTAGAGAGAAAACTTCGTTCGTGCAATAAGCCAAAAAGAATATTTTGCGTTTTCTTTCAGAGTTGAATCAAGGTCAGACTGACACATTAATATTATCTCCACTTACAGAGACGAGAAAAGTTTACCCAGACACATCCAGTGTGAGCAAGGGTTCAAACACAACTCTGATTCCTTACCTCTGGGTTCCAACCCTCACCCAGACTCCCTTGAGAAGTACACAGGATTTGTAGAGTGGGTAAGAAGGCCTTGCATTTTCCTTACAGACCGCCAGGATTTCCTGGCGTGGCGAGGACTTCTCCTTTAGGAGAGGATGATTCTGTCCTTCTGTTTTATCCCTGAATTGGCACAGTCTCCCCCCAATCCCATTCTGTCTTTGGAATCACTAACCACAGCTGCTTCCCCCGAGGCTGCTGCGAAGGCAGGGATTTAGCTCTTAGTTGTCCAAGATAAACACTGCCGGGAACACAACCCAACCACCTCTCCTCCATCCAGGAAAGTCCTGTAGGTCAGAAGAGACTGCTCAGACTGGCACTTGGCATCAATCTGAACTTTGATGCTGTAAATCAGGCAGAGAAATGAAATGATCAGGGCAAACCGGCATGGGTAGGTCCGGGATCCTGAAATACTCTTCAGCTCCTCCAGAGCAAAGCTGTAAGACTGTCCCTTTGCTTTAGATGTTATGAACTACCAGAGTATGGTTCAAAGTGTTCCCTGGGAAGAACAAATGAAGACCATCATGGACTTCCCACGTGGTCCAGTAGTTAAGAATCTGCCTGCCAATGCACAGGCCACAGATTCCATCTCTGGTCTGGGAGGATCCCACAAGCCACAGAGCAACTAAGCCGGTGGGTCACAACTACTGAGCCAGTGCTCTAGAGTCCATGCTCCACACCAGCAGAAGCCACCACCACGAGGAGCTGGGGCACAGCTAGAGAAAGACTAGCAAAGACCCAGTACAGCAAGAATTTTTAAAAAGAAGATCATCATCGTAAAATTGCAATGTGTGTGTATGAAGCTCCTGGGAGCACTCGCTGAAACTGAATGACACAGATGCGTCAGGACAACTTGGGAAAACTATTTACAACTGGTAAAACAGTAACCATGAACTTGGCCTCCCCAAGGCCAGGGCTGCTTTCAGGAGAACTTAGGGTGTGCTGGAGAAGGTTCCAAAGGACTGTTAACTACACTTGAATCTACTCTGAAGTCCCACACGCGAGGCAACTGAACAAACTACTGTGCGCCAATGGGGAGATCCAGATTCTTCCCCAGATCAGCAGAGAAATCACACTTTAGGGCATCCTGGTTTGAGGTTAAGACGCTGAGGTGCTCACTGCCTTGGTGCATACATGCTCACACGTGTGCTTACACACACCACTAAAGGTCTAAGACAAGTTTATAGAGATTCTGTAGTTCAGAACTGCATTGTCCAAATATGGGTACAGCCAGTAGCCCACAGGTGGCTAGCGGACACTTGAAATGTGGTCAGTCCACACTGAGATGGGTTCTAAATGTAAACTGCACTTTGTAGGATACAACAATTTCATATACAAGGGTAAAGTATCTCCATAACTTTTTATATCGTCTGCTAAAATGATCCTATTTGGGATATACTGGGTTAAAACAAATGGGTCATCAAAATAAATTATACCTTTTACTTTATGTGGGTACTAGAAGAATTTAAAGTACAGAGGTGGCTCACACTGTATTTCTATTGGACTAAAAACAGCAGATAGTTCTGCTCTAAAAACTTTCATTTAGACTAAGTATCACTGAACTCCTCTGGAAGCAAAATGTCGTGTTAGATAACAGCATAAACTCCCACCACTCCCTCTTCCGGCACATTACGTACAGTGTGCGTTTAAGGGGCAGTCTGCCAGGCGGCTCGTTTCCACGCGGTCAGATGCCTCCAGCTTCGCAGGCTCTCCGCACCCTCTGAACCTCTCCCCACCCAGTTCCCGAGCGAGTGTTCAGCTTTGGTGGCCCACTTCCCAGACCTCCGCGGGCACACCCAATACTCTTTCTGGCATGTTCTTCTGTTCCTACTGCTCACTCCCCCTGGGGACATCCTTCACTCTCATGACTTCATCCTTCCTCTCATGATTCCTCCACGAGACCTCACAGAGTTTCAGATGATTCGGAACTCTACTTTCATCTGTCAGTTTAAATGCTGGGATGTTCTACTTTAAGTCAAACCCTGAAGGAACAGGAGAAGGGAGGGACTGCAGTTCAAACTCACAACCACCTGCCAAGTTCCTAGAATGGCTGGTATGCACTGGGAGGAAGGAATCAAGACCACAGTTTGTGTGTTCCGTTTATTTACAAAGACTGTTAAAATCTGGGTTTTATCTCTTTACTTTTTAGGTCCTCCCTCAGAAGAGGGCAGTAAATAATAAAATGTCCCAAACAGCAGCATATGAAAACAGAAAACAAAAATAACAGAATTAGGCAAATTTGGTCATGAAGAAAGCAGGGACAGAGGCTCTCAATCAGAAACACACAGATGCAGGTCTGAATCCCTGAAAGCATGGGTGAGGTTCTGAGAGTGTGTGCGTATATAAACATTTTGAGAAAAGAGTCTGCAGCTTCCATCTTATTTCAGAGAATCTGAGACTCATGTAAGGACTACTGCCACAAGGCTTAAAAACGAAACTCGATGCAAGTATGAGGTAAAGAAAGGCTGTCCATTTACACGCTGAACACTGTCAGACACTGATGGGCACACGCCTGCGTTCACTAAGCCCACTACAGCGCACCCCTGTCGACTCTGTGTATCTTCACGGCGTGATCTTCACCACAACTTGCGAACTGCAGCCATTCAGCACCCCCTCCTTCCTTCTGTTCAGGCTTTCCATTACAATTCTTCCAGCGTAATCTTTTGATAGCAAGTGTATGACTTTGGCTAAAACAAAGAGAGATCATGAGATGAACATATGCTACAACTATGAAACATTTTACTGGCTGCTCAATTCATATTAATAAAATTAGTATGCTCTTCCTATCAGTGTTGTTAACATAAATGGAAGTCAAAACCTGAACATCAAGATGCGCTATCACTAACAGTTTAGCAATTTTATTTTAACCTTGAAAACATCTTACTTACCGACCAAGGACACCACCAAAAACAGCAAGAAATAGATAATGCATTTCTGTCAAATTTTGCTTTAATGATCAGTGGTATTCAAGAAATGGCTATTGAAATTAAGTCTTTCAGGTAACATTACTACTAATTTGCTAACTGTAATGTTAGCAATCCAAATAATATAAAGTAAGTCAGGAATCAATTCTTGCAAATCCAAAGTCATCATAATGACACAAAAAAATTTTTTAATGAGGAATTCAAATTCTGTACATGCCCCCTGCCCGTGCTTTCTAAGGGGCTTCCTGGCAGTGTTGCGCTTTCAGGTCACCGAAGTGGTCTGGGCACCAGGCAGAGGCAGTGAGCACTGTGGGCAGGGCAAGGTGAAAGGAAGGGAAAGAAGGGAGGGGAGGCCGGCAAGAGAGAACATTTCAAATGCCTGAAATATGGAATTTCGTTGGCTACCTCTTAGGTAAGCCAGCAGCATGAACTGTTTCAACAGCCAAACCCAGCCTCAGAGAAGTGGGAGTGAAGCCATGAGAAGCAGTGACAAATCAGATCTTATTTTAATATACTTAAATAAATACAATCATCATAAGCATTAACATGCTTTGCTGATAAGGAGACAAACTCCTCTGGAAGAAATAGCTTATACAATACATGTCTCTTGTCATCAAGCCAGTGACCTTCCTCATGGTGCTGTTGTTTGGAACTGTATTTGAAGTTATATTTTGGATAGTTTAAACATACGAATGCTGAAGAATCCTAAAAAAAAAATCTAACACAGAATGATGTGTGACATTTTTTGCAAGTCTCGTCGTTTCTAATGCATAAACGGGTGAAGTTGATTGACGAGTGATCCCTGCTGTCCAGGCAGGCTAGTTTGAGGAGGCGGCGATGAGCAGCAGGCGCTCTGAGCCACCAGAGGCAGCACCCAGACCCAAGGCTCGGAGCCCTCGCTCCGCCTGAAGCGGGGTCACAGGGCTGGGAGCGGCACCTGGTGGTTTGCTCCATTTCAGGGGCTGAGCTGAAGTGTTCAAACATGAGATCTGGCTACCAAACACAGTCTATAATATTTCAAAAAAAATCACCAACATTCTGAATCAAATTTTCCTAAGATTCCACTGTGGTCACATTCTGAAACCCATCATTTTGAAATTCATTTTCATCTCCAATGTGTTATCTCTAAAGATAATATCAGGCAAACAAGCCATGTGGTCAAATAAACTGTTTAAAAATAAGTGCAGTATAGTAACAACTGTCAATTTCAAGAGACTGTCATAAAACACAGAGGTACCAATTGGAGATAAGCACCAGGAATGGATTTGTATTCTTCTCCACACAATTGAGGCATGAGATTTGCTGCTAAAGACTCCAACGATGTCTATCTGATCCGGTGGAAGCAAAAACAGGAAAGAAATACCTTTGACTTGTTTCTACACAGCGGATCCAGTCGTTTATTTCTGGAACTTGATCGGTCTTTTTCCAGGAGTATAAACAAATCTTTCCACACTCTAATCCTACTGCAACCACGTATCTGTTTTTGAGAGAAGGGTGAGACTGATTAATTTAGCATGAGTTTCTTCAGGGTTCCCGACTACCTCTGGCTGAAAGGACTCTGTTCGGACCCAGGACCCAGCGCGCTGCTCTGCTGTGCACTCGAGAAGCTGCCTCTCCATCAGGGGTGCACAGTTCTACTTCTGTCCCTGGTGGGCAAGGCCCGCGAGCCAGCGCTTCCCTGGCTGGCTGTGGGGCCCTCAGGCTACTAAAGATACTCGTTACAGAGAAATATCACCATCTACCATTTGGTAAAATAAGAACCTTTGAGCCACATCCCCATCTCTATTTCACCACTCTAAATACCATCAAGTTCTATCAATCTAGAAATTCTTTTGAGAAACATAAGCATTATTTAAAAAAATAGTTAACTTGGAAGCTGAAAGAACCCACAGGAGATTAAAGTATAAGAGGGCTATACATTGAGACTAAGTGGTCTTCTTAAAGAAACATGAGATGAGGCCCCCACACCGAGACTGACCGTTGGGAAAGGTTAAGCAGCGGGCAGATGCTGACGGCGGTCACAGCTCCACCCACATCCAGTACGGAGGAGCAGGGCCCGATGCTGTGCTCGATGGCGTCGTCGCTGGAGTCGCACTCACCCCAGACAACCACCTAGCACAGACAGATCAAACTCTGTAACGCTTTCTCTCTGCAAGGTTTCTGTTAATGGCAATGCGTTAAGAGTTTCAATGGCATAGGTGACACTATGAAATTTTTTAATTCATAATTTTCATTTGTGATCCAGGACTTCTGAGCATTTCAAGCATCACAGAGAAGCCACGGTGTAGCAGATACAAGTCTGAGATCTCAACTACCCAAGTGTGCTGGGCCAAACTCGACTGTCCCTGCCCAGAGGCCTGCTCTTTATACTAAGGAAATCAGCTCTGATCCAGTGAGATTCGGTCCACCGAGGTGCCTATGCATTCCAAGTAATTACCTCAAAATGTATGAAACCAACCAAGTCCCTGGCTCTTCCTCTACACCCCACCCCGGTTCAGAGAATCAGCTCAGCTCTCAGGAGGCCCCAACCTTGATGATACTAATCTAAGAAATGAGGCTTTCTTGGAAGCTCAGGCCTCGAAGGGGTGTGAACAGTCACAAAGAAATGGAGAACACAGTGAAACAGACAAGAGCTGCAACTTTAGGACCAAAGAGACACTCTGAGCAGAAGACTCTGCCCAGGCAAGCAGAAAGTATTCCTGAGACTGCCTGATGGACGATGCTTCGTCCATTTCAGCCATGACCTGTCTCTGAGTCACAGCTGGGTTGTCTGCTGCGGGGCCTGACCGTGGAGGGCGGGAGCAGCCCTGCTGCCTTGCAGAGTAGGAAGAGAAATGCCGGGGAGACACCGATAGGCCAGCGAGAGGGGCGAAGGGCTGAGAGAGCGTGTCAGAGACCGACACTTCCGTGTCACTGAGTAACATGCCCTCAGACCTCTGCTTCAGTAATACCACGATTAGGACTGAGAGGGCAGGAGAGGAAAGGAGACGCTCAGGCGCCTCAGACCTCTAGTCTGCAGCAACTGCAGAGAAGGAAAGGATATATATATATTTTTTTAACATTTTAAAATAACTTTTATTTCTAATCACAGTTACACACAGAATTTTTAATAGTAAGAAATAACAAACGATATATTGGAAATGAAAATTTCCATTCAAACTCCCCAACCCACCCCATCAACATCCTCATCCACCTAATCACCTTCTCTTTATAGCCATGCTGTTTAGTTGCTCAGTTGTGTACAACTCTGTGATCCCGTGGATGTTTTAAAGAGTACGAACACTAGAGGAAAGACAGGGCCAAGCAAACATTTCCCAGAGAACAAGGGCAAGGGGCAAGGCCAAAACCCTATTGCTAGCTCACTTATCCTGATTTTTTTCAAAGTTTGGGACACACACACTCATACACCCCACCTCCTCCAATGAATGAAAAGGTAAAACAATTATTCACAGAATTTAAAATTCATACAAGTATGGAAAAGAAAAGTATGGATAGTCTTAACCCATTTCATTGACTACTTTTCTCCCACTGGGGCCATCTGATATTAGTAATGAGTCTGAAGAGTCTCCTCTGTAGGTGATATTTCAGAGACATGTATTTATAGAATTTAACAAATAAGAAAAGTCTTTTTATGTATGCATATGAAAAATACAGGAGGGAATACATAAACTGATTTTAAAAACCATATTAGAAAATTAGGATTATGTGTTTTTTTTTAATCCAAAGATACCTGTAATATTATTATCTTACATTTGAAAAAATAAAAAGTTAAAAAAAAATTACCTTTCTGTCCCGACTTCCAGTAAAGAAATACTTGCCATCCGGACTCCAATCACAAGACCAAATAATCCTGCTGTGCACAGCAGTGACTTTGTTAGTGAAGGCAAAGAGGCTGAAGACTGGGTCTGAAAGAAACACATTTATGCACTACTCTCAAATTGAGAAACCTGGTTTCTCCTTGTGAGAAAGTTATGTTTAAGTGTCATATAAATCATGTAATTTAGTCATCAATTTATACACATAAATGGATGTCTTTTATAACAGATCAAGGCCAGGGAGCAGACCCCTCACCAGAAGACTATGGGAATACATTCACTTTTCTAGTAGGAAATGATATTATACTGATTAGTCACTCTTTAGTGATTGATGTGAACTCTTTATCGCCAAATTCAGACTTAAATTGAAGAAGAGTACGGAAAACCACTAGATCATTCAGGTATAACCTAAATCAAACCCCTTACAATTATACAGTGTAAGTGACAAACAGATTCAAGGGATTAGATCTGACAGACAGAGTGCCTGAAGAACTATGGATGGAGGTTCGTGACACTGTACGAACAGGAGGCAGTGATCAAGACTATCCCCAAGAAAAAGAAATGCAAAAAGGCAAAATGGTTGTCTGAGGAGGCCTTACAAATAGCTATGAAAAGAAGCAAAGCTAAAGGTAAAGGAGAAAAAAGAAAGATATACCCATCTGAATGCAGAGTTCCAAAGAACAGCAAAGAGACATAAGAAAGCCTTCCTCAGTGATCCGTGCAAAGAAATAGAGGAAAACAATAGGATGGGAAAGATCAGAGATCTCTTCAAGAAATTAGAGATACCCCTTTTCATGCAAATATGGGCACAATAAAGGACAGAAATGGTATGGATGTAACAGAAGCAGAAGATATTAAGAAGTGGCAAGAATACACAGAAGAACTATACAAAAAAGATCTTCATGACCCAGAAAATCACAATGGTGTGATCACTCACCTAGAGTCAGACATCCTGGAATGTGAAGTCAAGTGGGCCTTAGGAAGCATCACTAAGAACAAAGCTAATGGAGATGATGGCATTCCAGGGGAGCTATTTCAAATCCTGAAAGACGATGCTGTCAAACTGCTGCACTCAATATGCCAGCAAATTTGGAAAACTCAGCAGTGGCCACAGGACTGGAAAAGGTCAGTTTTCATTCCAATCCCAAAGAAAGGCAATCCCAAAGAATGCTCAAACTACCGCACAATTGCACTCATCTCACACACTAGTAATGCTCAAAATTCTCCAAGCCAGGCTTCAAACAGTACATGAACCATGAACTTCCAGATGTTCAAGCTAGATTTAGAAAAGGCAGAGGAACCAGAGATCAAATTGCCAACATCTGCTGGATCATTGAAAAAGCAAGAGAGTTCCAGAAAAACATCTACTTCTGCTTTATTGACCATGCCTTTGACTGTGTGGACTACAACAAACTGTGGAAAATTCTTCAAGAGATGGGAATACCAGACCACTTTGACCCACCTCTTGAGAAATCTGTATGCAGGTCAAGAAGCAACAGTTAGAACTGGACATGGAACAACAGACTGGTTCCAAATCAGGAAAGGAGTACATCAAGGCTGTATATTGTTACCCTGCTTATTTAACTTGTATGCAGAGTTCATCATGGGAAACGCTGAACTGGGTGAAGCACAAGCTGGAGTCAAGATTGCAGGAAGAAATGTCATAAAGCTCAGATATGCAAATGACACCACCCTCATGGCAGAAAATGAAGAACTGAAAAGCCTCTTGATGAAAGTGAAAGAGAAGAGTGAAAAAGCTGGCTTAAAACTCAACATTCAGAACACTAGGATCATGGCATCTGGTCCCATCACTTCATGGCAAACAGATGGGGAAACAGTGGAAACGGTGACAGACTTTATTTTCTTGGGCTCCAAAATCACTGCAGATGGTGACTGCAGCCATGAAATTAAAAGACGCTTGCTTCTTGGAAGGAAAGTTATGACCAACCTAGACAGCATATTAAAAAGCAGAGACACTACTTTGCCAACAAAGGTCCGTCTAGTCAAGGCTATGGTAGATGTATGGATGTGAGAGCTGGACTATAAAGAAAGCTGAGCGCTGAAGAACAGATGCTTTTGAACTGTGGTGCTGAAGAAGATTCTTGAGTCCCTTCGACAGCAAGGAGATCCAGCCAGTCCATCCTAAAAGAAATCAGTCCTGAATATTCATTCGAAGGACTGATGCTAAAGCTGAAACTCCAATACTTTGGCCACCTGATGCGAAGAACTGACTTGCTGGAAAAGACCCTGATGCTGGGAAAGATTGAAGGCGGGAGAAGAAGGGGACAACAAAGGATGAGATGGTTGGATGGCATCACCAACTCAATGGACATGAGTTTTAGTAAGCTCTGGGAGTTGGTGATGGACAGGGAGGCCTGGCGTACTTCAGTCCATGGTGTCGCAGAATCGGATACGACTGAGCGACTGAACTGAACTGAATTGAAGTGACTGATGTAAAACATCTTCTGGACACTTAACTAAAAGTTCAGTTGATGCCTACAGAAGAAGCCTCAAGAAATTTAACTTACTCAGGAAGTAGTCAGATCTGTGTATTAAGCTATGGAAAAAAGAATAATGCACCCTTAAACAATGTAAACAAACAAACTTAAAAAAATCTTTTCCTTTGTAAGATTCTAAGTGTAGGGTAACTAACTTCTAGCCCTCACAGGAACTAAAACCTAAATGACCTAACTGTGTATCGAGCGAAGACTAATGTATCTATTAATCAACAATCCACAAAGATATAACACATTATAATATAGATTTGTTATTAGCCTCACTTTAATTTTAAAAAGTAAAGTATACATGTTAGGAAATCACTGGTTGCAAATGAAATCAGTCTGTTTTAACATATACTGCTCAGTATCTGTCATAGTACTTGGTATTCTCTAAAATATAAAAAACCCAAAGAACTGAAAACATCGTAAGTCAAATTGATACAGGTTTTAATTGATGAAAAAATTAAAAGCAGCATTAAACAACACAAAAGTACTTTAAACACTCTCTAGAGTCTCACTGAAACTGGAAGAAGAATAGGCTATGCTCTAAGTACACAAAGGAAACTTTTTTTTCCTTTTCAGTGTTTTTTCATTTTATGCCAGGTCCAAAGTAGAAGGCAGGTAGGTGTGTTAACATCTTGCCCAGGGGTCATGTTATTCACAAATATTAGTTCCTCGGTCATGTCCAACTCTTTACAACTCCATGGTCTACAGCCTGCCAGGCTGCTCTGTCCATGGGATTCTCCAGACAAGAATACTGGAGTGGGTAGCCATTCCCTTCTTCAGGGGATCTTCCTGACCCAGGGATCAAATCTGGGTCTCTTGCATAGCAGGCGGATTCTTTACCATCTGAGCCACCAGGGAAGCCAAGTGGATGTCTTAATTATCAGTGTGAAAGAGGTGGATAATTTAACTGTATACTCATTATTTCTGTCCCATAAAATCCTCAGTATATATCATCCATTTGGTTTTAAGGTGGCATTCTATAACCATCTGCAAAGTCTAAATTTTGTACATACAGATTTTCATGCTTCTTTAACCGAGATATCTGAAAACATTATCATCCTTAAAAGGAAGGTCAAGTCTTCCTCAACTGTCACAAAACTCTGAAAGACTCCCAGTAACCAGACTCTGGCCTTCACCCTATTATCATTTCACTTTACCCAGAGCCGCTCAAAGTGGGTACATGGACATAACTGTCTCACTAGTATTCTTCCCAGCCAGGAGCTGTTTACCTAACTCGGGTGGGATTATGTCCTGCCTCTTCCACAGTGACCAGGTTCGATCTCTGGAAACAGCGAGTAAGAACTTGTCATCAGGAGAGAAAGCCATCTGTGTGACAGTCAAACTGTGGAAGATTAAATTCTGCACCTGCTTCCAAGATGCAGTGTTCCAGAGAATGATTGCGGCATGCTCTTTCTTGGCTGCCTGTAGGACAGAGATGAAACAATAAAGCAATGTGAGTGAAATAAACTGGAAAAAACAAACAAAACCACTTTTCAAAGTAACACACTGCTTCTACAGGATTCTTCATGTATCTGCATAAATAAAAACCACAAATTCTGAGAAGATACTATAAATTCTATAACAAGGTGTAACCCCTGAGAAGAGATAGACTGGGATTAGAAATGACAAATGATTAGAGACTGGTAGTGGAATCAGAATTTTAAAAATTGTAATTAACATACAATATTTTACCTTGTTATTGACTATGTTCCCTATGTGCACCTTACATCCCTGTGACTTATTTTGAAACTGTGAATTATTGTGTAACTGCAAGTTTATACCTCTTAGACCCCTATTTCCATCATCCATCCACCCCGCCGAAAACACCCTGTCTGTTCCCTGTATCAACGAACCTGCTTCTGTTTTGTTTGTCCATTTGTTTTGGTTTTTTGGATTCCACATATAAATGAAATCATTGTCTTTCTCTGTTTGACTTATTTACTTATTTCACTTAGCATAATACCCTCCAGGTCTATCCATGGTGCCACAAATGGAAAGATTTCATTCTTTTTTTTAATGGCTGGGTAATACTGCACATTCAAGTGTGCATACACCCCACCCCTTCCTAGTCATTCCTTTATCAACAGACACTTTGGCTGCTTCCATATCTTGTCTATTGCAAATAAAGCTACAATGAGCATAGGGGTATATTTATCTTTATAAATTATCATTTTTGTTTTCTTTGGATAAATACCCAAAAGCAGAGTTGCTGGATCATATGGTATAGTTCTATTTTAATTTTTTGAGGAGCTGCCATACTATTTTTTCAAGTATGTATTTTACATAATTTTACAAGTATGTATTGTATTTTTACAAAATACATTTCTGCATTAACTGTGTAATTAGTAGTTAAGAGACTTTCACTTCTGGTCCATAAGAAGTAACAGGGACCAGAGTTACTATCTTGTATGAAAAAAACTAAAGATCAAACAAAATACATGAAACAATGGCACTCCAAAATACTCGATGTCTGGCAACAATGAAGAGCTACCCCTAAGGGACAAAAAGAATCACAGAGTAGGAAAAATAAAAAAACAAAAGAACATCACTGAACCCTATGACAACATCAAGCAGCCAAATATAGGTGTTAACTATGGTCTGCAAAAGGATGAAAAGAAAAAACACTTAAAAAGCTAATGGCCCTCAAATTTGATGAAAACAATAAACCAAAGATCCAAGAAGTTCAATAAAACTCAAGCACAAGAAACAAGAAGACAATTATACCAACAATCAAATTGTTTAAAACCAGTGATAAACAAGAAATTGCACATGGAGGGGAAAAAACCGATTACTGAGCAACAAAGAAAAATTACACTGGACTTCTCATCCAAAGCAACGCAAGTCAGAAGAAAATAAAACAACATTTTTAAAGTACAGAAAGGAAAACAAACAATTCTTTACCTACCATAAGTACAGTTTAAAAATGAAGGAGACATATATATTTCCAGGCAAGCAAAAACTGAAAAAATTCCTAACCAGCAGAACTACATTACAAGAAATGCTAGAGAATATCCTGCAGGCAGAAGGAAAATTATATCTGATGGAAAAACTTTTTTTTATTCAAATCTCAATTATCTCTAATTGATTATTAAAGCAAAAATAATAGTACCATGGGATTTCTGTAAAGAAGCAAAATGTACAAAAACAATATCACAAAGTAGGAAGAAATGAAAGTATACTTATTTTCTCATGAACAGTGCGATATTACTTGATGATAAACTGTGGTAAAGACACATACTATAAACTGTGAAACCACCAATAAAATAACACAATGAAGAATTGTATCTGCTAAACAAAAGAAATGGAATTATAAAAAGTAATTATTTCACCAATATTAAGTAAAATGGATCAAAGAACAGATGGATTAAACAGAAAACAAATGGCAAAATGATAAAGTAAATCTATCATATCAATTATTACATTAAATTCAAATAGTCTAATAAACACCCCTATTAAAATGAAAGATTATCAGGATAAGAAAAACATAAGATCCAACTATATGCTGCCTCCAAGAAATCCACTTGAGATAAAAGTTAACAAATAACTTAAAAGTAAAATGATGAAAAAAGACACATAACTCAAGCACTACTCAAAAGAAAGCCGGGGAATTCCTGGCATCTAAGGTAAGGACTCCATGCTTTCACTGCAGGTGACATGGGTTCAATCCCTGTTCAGGGAAATAAGATGGTACAAGCCTCACAGTGTGGCCAATAAAAGAAAGCAAGCTGGAGTGGCGATATTAACATCAGACAGAGTGGATTTCAGAGCACAAACTATTATCAGAAATAGAGTTTCATTTCATAATAATAAACTAATCAGTTAATTAAGAACATAATGATCATAAATGCTTTGGATCTAACAACAGAGCTTCAAAACACAGAGTACAAACTGAACGCACTGCAAAGATTAAAAGACAAGTTCATAATTGTCATCAGAGATTTCAAAATGCCACTCACAAAAGAACCAAATGAGCAAAGACAGTAATACCATCAACCAATATAAGTCATATTTTTCAGAACACTCCACCCAACAGAAACAGAATCCACCTTCTTCAAGAGAACATGGAAATTTACCAAGATTAAATTTCAAATGATTGAAGCTATACTCTACCTTTTAAACAAAATGAAATTAAATCAGAAATCAGTAACAGAAAGATATCTTAAAAATACTCAGTATATGGAAATTAATGTATTTCAAAATAACCTATAGCTAAAAAATAAAAGATGGAATAAATTAGAAAGTATTTTTAACTGAAGGAAAATGAAAACACAACATACCAAAATTTGCAGAATGCCTCAAAAGCAATACTTAGAGGAAAACTTAACAGTGCTAACACCTATCCAGAAGCCAGGATTGAGGGCTGGGTGAAATGGGTGAAGAGTCAAAAGGTACAAATGCCCAGCTACAAATAACTAAGTCAGGGGGACATAATGTATAGCGCAGCAATTATCATCAACACTGCACTGCATATTTGAAAGTTGCTGAGATCTTAAAAGTCCTCAGCACAAGAAAAAACTTTTTCTTCTAATTATGTATGATGATGGATTTTGGCTATGGGGGATCACTTCCCAATGTAAACAAACGTCGAATCATTATGCTGTACACCTGAAACTAATACAATTTTATATATGTCAGTTACACCTCAATAAAAATGATTTTTAAAAATGCATATACATATAGATCATGAGCAGGAATGCAAAGCTGGTTCAACATCTGAAAAATCATTCAATGTAATTCATCATATTAATAAATTAAAAGGGAAAAAACATATGACATGTCAACAAAGAAAAAAATTTGACAAAATCTAACATCCATTCTTGATAAAAACTCTGCAAACTAGGAACTGTAGTGAGATTTTGCAACCTGATAAAGAATTAGAGTCATAATGCACAGCAAATATCATGCTTAATAATGTAGATCTGTGAGTCAGGTGAAGGTACTTCGATTCTACACAAGAAGCACAAACTCAATACAGAACAAAATTGATAAATTAGACTTCACCAAAACATAAATTTCTGCCCTCTGAAAAAACACTGCTAAGAAAATGAAAAGGCAAGTCACTGGTGAAAATTATCTACATAGCAAATATCTGATAAAGGAGTATCCAGTGTATACAAAGAACTTTTCAAAATTCAGTAATATGAAAACAATACAATAGAGAACTGGGCAAAAGATTTGAACAGATACTTCAACAAAGAAGATACACAGACGGAAAACTAGCACATGAAAAAATTCTCAACATCACTAATCATCAGCGAAATGCAAATTGCAGGTACAGTTAGGTATTACAAAAGCATCAGAATGGTAAAAGTTAAAAACACTGACAAGATCATGTATTGCTGAAGGTGTGGAGCACCTGAAACTCTCATACGTTGCCAGTGGGACTGTAATGTAGTACAATCACTTTGGAAAACAGTTTGTTACTTTCTTAAAAATTTAAATATCTATCTACCATACTCAGCAATTCCACTCATATGTACTTGCTCAAGAGACATGAAAGCATATTCTATGCAAAGACTTGTACACAAATGTTTATAACTGCTTTACTGGTATAAGTCCCAAAATGGAAATCACCTAACATTAAGTTAATGGATCAACAAACTGTAATGTATATGTAAAAGGGAAGATGATTCAGAAATAAAAAAGTGAAAAATTAATTGACACGTGCAACAACATGGATGAATCTCAAATTGTGATAAATGAAAGAAGCTAGACAAAAAAAGTACAAGCTGTAATTCCATTTATACAAAAATTTAGAAAATTAAACTACTCTATCATGATAAAAAGCAGATTAGTGGTTTACTAGGGATGGGGGCGGGCTTCCCTGGTGGCTCAGATGGTAAATAACCTCCCTGTAAAGCGGGAGACCTGGGTTCGATCCCTGGGTTGGGAAGAGCCCCTGGAGAAGGGCATGGCAACCCTCTCCAGTACTCCTGCCTGGAGAAGCCCTGTGGACAGAGGAGCCTGGCGGGCTACGGTCCATGGGGTCACAAAGAGTTGAACAGGACTGAGTGACTAAACAGCACAGCACAGGATTGGGGGTTGATGGTATCTTCACTATCATGATGGTGGTGATGATTTCACAGGTGTAAACATATGCCAAAATTTATCAAACTGTCCAACTTTCAAAGTGCAATTTATAGTACACTTTATTGCTGTTCATTTGCTAAGTCGTGTCCAACTCTTTGCTATCCCATGGACTGCAGCAGGCTTCCCTGTCCTCCACAATCCCCCAGAGTTTGCTCAAGTTCATGTCTATTGAGTCGGTGATGCTATCTAACCATCTCATCCTCTGCTGCCCTCTTCTCCTTTAGTACACTCATGACATCTAAATAAAACAGCTACAGAATGTTAGCTTAAAAGAGAAATGCCCATACTTGTTACAAGTGAGCCAACTTGAAAAGGAGAAAATAATTATATGGTTAACAGCGCTCTACGACACAAAAAAGGTTGCTCAACAGAAGCACAGCTGTTATTGCTATTATTCCCTATTCTTCCCAAAGGCCCCTGTATTAACAGAAAGAAGAATTCTCAGGACCACCCTCACAAAGAGGACAATAAACAGAGGGGTGGGGGAAGAGGAGCATGACACTATTTCTTACGATGATCCTCAACTCAACACAGGCAAACAGCAAGAAGCCACAGCAAGAGCACGGATAAAAAACAAACATACAGAAAGAAAACCAAAAACAAAGAAACCCAAAGGTGGCCATCCAGGTGGGCAGCTCTCACCATCTTGCTTAAAACAAGTAAATAAATGTATTTTCTTGTTTAAAACAAGTAGACAAATTTGAGGAAATTCAAAGGAATATGTGAGTCTCAGATCCTTCACATAATCCTCCACAGTATATAAATACTGAAGAGCAAGTTCAAGATCATTCTCCCAGGCCAATGTCTCAAGTGCACAATTCTGCAGAGCCACCTGCTGGTGGCTCGCTGAGCGGGCTGCCCCCCTGCCTCACCATGGCATGGGGCAAGGGACTCGACTCCCTTAGGTCAGCACCCGGAGTGGCCCCGAGAAATGGTCAGATCGAATGCACACAGGGTTTTGCCTTCCCCTGTGTCTCCAGGGCTCCCATTACTAAAAATTTTTATTACATTTTAGGTCTAATTTTCAGATATTTGATTAAATAGCTTTTGAGTAGGGGAATACTCGGCTCAAGCCAAGTACTGAAAAACAAAAATGTGCAGCTGAGACAGATTTAAAAGGCAACTGCAAGCTTTTGCAGAGACAGATGGAAAAGGGGCAGAGAAAGCAAGATTCAGAAAAATCAGGCACCTGTGGCCTTTCATGTTGAATTCTGCCTGCATCACTAAGCTTGCAGGAGCCTGATTTAAATAACCTGTGACCAAGCAGAATAGAAAAGTAACATTCCCTACCTTACAAGCTGAGGCAAGCAGAGTCTTTGAATTGCTACAAGCAACACAAAATATTTCATAGCCATGTCCATATCTAAAATTCAAAAAGAGAAAATGGATGACCCCTGTATTATGAAATGTATCTATTCTCATGCTGCAAAATTTTTAGTGTGAAAAGATTAACTTTAATCTCTCTAGCTAACACACAGTTCTTTTAAGAAACATTTCTGTAAAGCAGATAGTAGAGAAAACTCTAACTTCCTAGCAATAATATAACTTATTCAAACTACTAAATTAAATACAAGTTTCCACCCCTAGCCAGTCAGTACAATAAATATTAATAACAAATCACAGAAAGGTTCAGATAGGGAATCACTGTAGGGAAAAAAAAAAAAAAAATATATATATATATATATATTTTAAATGGTGCTATGCCTCTCTACTTTAAAAAATCAAAACCAATAAATCTAGTAACTATAATATACAGCATTATAAAAACCTAAGTAAAGCTTGATTCTCACCCCTTATGAAGGCAACCAAGAGATCTTTAGATCTGGGGGTGGGGGAATGTAGCTAAGAGGAAAGCAAAAGAGAAAACCAAATTTGGGGGGTGGGGGGGGGAATATCACAAGTTAGGATAGAATCAGACCAAACAGCTAACTGTAGTTTAACTTACAGTTTTTGAACTTCAGGCCACAAAGTATTTTGCAGCAGATGGTCCTCAGTGGGAGGTTCTATAATAAATTTACAGTGTTGCAGTTAATTTTCCTATTTTCATGCAAGTGAATTCTGCAGCATGTATTTAGGTCAGCAGTGACAGATATCACACTATGTGTGTTAATAATTCTAGTAAACCATACTTTTGCCTTTTCTTACCAGTAAGTAAGGAGGGTTGGAAGGCCACCTGGTGATACTCGAAACCAGCACTATTTAACAGCTCCTCTTCATCAGAAGGCTGAGAAGCCATATCTCCTAGTTTAAAAGAAGTATCAACATCATGAACATGGTCCCATCTTTATGTCTCCTACACACATCTGTTAAGGCCACCAGTGAGAAAGTGGTGGCACATCAAGAGAGGGTAATTCAACTGTATTCACGTGATTGCAAAGCCAAGGGTATTTCCACTACTCTGGTATTTTCCATATGTGCTGTGGTCAATCTCACAAAAATTCCTCCCTTTTCCTTTGACCGAATATTTCCCAAACTTTTTATAAACTATGGAACACATTTTTCAGGCAACCCACATTAGTATCTGGGGTTGTAAGTGCTCCATGGAATACACTTTGTAAAAGCAGCACCTATTTCAGGGTATGCAAGGGTACACAGAGTAGTTACCATGAAATATCTGACAGAGAGCAGAGATGCCTGTACTGTGATTTATAAAAAGAGAAATCACCTGTAACGAACACTAGTACATGTTATACAAGTGTGTAACTAGGTGGTAAGTACCATTATAGGTTCAGTAATTCTGGAGACGAATTCAGATGAACTCAGCCTTACCCTGAAAGACAGCTTTATTGGATAATCCCAAAGCAGGGACGGTAGCTCCTTCTGGAAGATCACCGTCTTGCTGGAATAAAAAGTGTGAGACATGTCTTAAATGCTAAAAGATCCTGTTACTTCAGGCACCACGAAAAAAAAAAAATGCTATGCTCATTAATGCTGAGAAGCAGTGTAAAGACCACTTACACTGAGGGTATCTGCCCAGACTTCCATTTCCTGAACCAAGAGATGAAATGCTAATCCAGCACACAGGTCCCAGCTAACCCCAGCCCCAGCCCCAGCCCCCACCCAATCCATAAAGCTGGGTATCCCCTCATCCATCAGCTCACTGAACCCTCACAGTTCAGCAGATTTCAGGGTTTGACAAGGAAAGCGCTGTGATGGCTTCTAGCCAAGAGTGGGCTGATAACGGAAGGCCTGAAACCTTTATTTACAAGAGAGTTTCATGGGTACATCCCTGGTGATGCTCATGCGAACATACGTTTCCCAGGAAGCCACAGTCATAGTATTTTCATTAAACATACCTAAAATTTTGTGTATTTTAAAATTTTATAACAGACTACTCTTTAAAGTGACAATATGTTTATATGCTGCATATCAATTAAGTTATTACAAGTGAAACAAACACTAACCATCAAAATTGGCACATGTCCATAAGCTAACAGCATTTCTTAAAATCTAAACTTTAATACAGGGGTTGGAACTGAACACAAACATGAGCAATGGGAATTTAAACTCACTAACACTGGTTACCTGAGACACAGGATGCTTTATTTTAGAAACCAAGAAAATGAAACACCATGGAAAGGAGCAAAAAAGAGGCATTCCTACATATTTAATATGGGAAAAAAATCTAAAAAGCAGCAAGTGGCTTTCCAGTCTATAGGATCTCTGTATCTTGGGACACAGAACTGAATATATACCAGGGACTAACCTCTCATGAAATCCCTCCACCACATTTAAATCCCTAGAATTGTTAGATCCTCAAACCAACCAGCCCTCCACCATCATGCTCCATCTAATGACCACAATCCAGGCCTCTCTTTTGATATTGTTCTACTGTCCATTAGCATTAGAAACTATGTAACAGAATCTTTCCTCTTCTTTACCTAATCAAGAGAGCCTGTGGCCAGAGGTGTCCATGATACACTCTAGGAAGCGCAGCTGGACATTTCCTTTAAAACAATTCTCCTTTTCTTCTCCAATCTTACCCAGACTGGTGCTAACATCCCTGCCTTCAAAGTCTTTGAGCTCAAAGGTATCCTGCTCCCACATCACTCTTTCCCACAAAGCGCATTTCATCACTTCCTTTGTTCAGGACCCATCATCAGTACCAGTCTGAACTATGTCTGCCTCCCAAGTCCTCCACCATTAGACCTTCCCCCAGTTCTCCATTTCCCTTGATAACACTTTTCATTCAAGCAGCTCTGACCACTCCACAGCTCTCTTTCTCTCCTTCCTTCTGCCTATTAAAAGTGTACTTACCCTTCTCAAGCTCAGAAGCAAATTTGTGACCCGACTCTAAGGACTGCAAAGGATTGTATGACATGCATTTCTGTGTAACACAACTACCTGGCTACTTGCTTTCCCTTCCTTCAAAACTGGTTACTTGATAATTTTTATAACCTATGTATTTTTTTATAAGTGCTCAAATCCTTTGTAGAAAGAGGGTAAAAATGAACATTAATAAAACTTACCCCTTTCAAAATTCTAACGAAGCCTCATTTTCTCAGTGACACTTCCTTCTTTGACTATTACTTTAGCCAACACAAGAGTCAGCAATTAACTGGTTTTATCTAACAACTGTAAGTACATTAGCTCCATACCCCCTACCCCTTATCTACATCGAGATGATAATCTCCTTGAAAATATAACCCATTGTGTTTTATCAGTTACCGAACACAGTGAACATGCATAGTATTTGTATCTTAATATTTTAATTCTTTACAGTGTCTTGGGCTTATCTGTTATAAAATTTCTTATACTAATATTTAAATTATTGCAGAGTATATGCAGAAATTATCAAGCCAATGATAAAATGATTTGACTTCCTTTCTATCCATATTCTCCATTTACAGCCTTAGGTAAAACTTCTTTAAAATGTTATATGAAGTGGCAAGATCTACTTAAAACATTTAGGGGAATACTCACATTACAAAGCACACGATTCAGTGACCGACCCGTAATGGCACAAAAATTTTCCACAAAATTCCGAGGTGCAGAAAATACTCGAAGAACTTTTTCATCTGCTCCAGACACAAACTGAAACCTATTGATCATTGCCAAACATTTAAGGTCATATCCATGTATCTGAGGCCTTGCAATTTCATGCCAAGTCACCTGGGTGCCAAAAAAGATTAAAAAAAAATGATCACGTTTCAAAAACTGAATTCTTTTCAACAAGCAAAGCATCAAACACAAACTCATTCATTATGCCATGGAAATGTGACCATGGGGCAGATTCATCCATGTTGTTGTGTTCATCAACAGTTCAATACTTTTTCTTGCTGAGTAGTATTCCTTTTGTATGGCTATACCACAAATTGTTGATCCACTCACCTACTCAGATATCTGGGGTGTTTCCAGCTGTCTTACTGAGAAAACAGTCACGAACTTTCAGGTACAAGTCTCTGTATGACTATATGCCTCTATTTCTCTTGAGTAAACACTTCCTATGGGTATGATAATTGAATGATGATTGTATAACTTTTAATAAACTGTCAAATTATTTTCCAAAGTGCCTATACATTTTACAATCCCACCAGCAGTGTAAGAAAGATCCAGCTGCCCACACCCTCATCAGCACTTGTGCAAGTCAGCTTTCCACATTAATCATTCTAACAGTGGTATAATGGTATCTCATTGTAGCTTTAATGTGCATTCCCTAATGGCTAATGATACTGAAATCTTTTCCTGTTCTTATTTTCCATTAATATATCATCTGCAGAGAAATATCTTTTGCCCCATTTACTACCCCCCACCTTTTTTTACTGGATTATTTGTTTTCATTTTTACTGAGTTCTAAAAAGTTCTTTATAGACTCTAGATAAAAATCCTTTATCAGATATGTGTTTTATAAATATTTTTTCCCAGCTTATGACTCATCTTTTCATTTTCCTGATAGTGTCTTTCAAAGGGCAGAACTTCACATTTTGGATAAAGTCTGATTTACTGATTTTTTTTCTTTTTTTTTAAAGGATCTTGAGTAAACAACAACTGAGTCATACTGGTAGCAAATTACCAAGAGTCACAGAAAACCACTCCAAAATCATCTGCCTTTTTTGCTTGACTATAGTACTGCTCCCAATGTTCTCTATTAATTTTAATCTACCAAACTGCTGCTAAAGCAGAAATGCCGATGGCCAGTTTCATTAGTACTCAGTCTGACCCACAGTCAGTTTCATAAATTTTTATCAGAAACTGGGTATACTTTGTAGTATAGCACAGTTCAATGATTTATCAGTGGTAAAGTTTTATTGTGGTTTTTGAAAGCTTAGGGCAAGCCTGAAAAGTTTCTTTAACAAAAACTGGGCTCAGCAACTATTAAGTGACACTATATGATATTAGAAATTAGCTTTTATTGCAGATCTGACAGAGTTTCCTAATGAATTAAAATTACAAGGTATAAGAGAACTTTGTGGAACTAAAGTAAACACATTTTGGCAACTAACATTTTAATTGTTTGAATTATAAAGAATATACATATGCTTAGGTTTTTTACTGAAATACAGTTGAAATATGTAATATTATGTTAGTTTCAACACAGTGTACAACATAGTGATTTAACATTTAAATACATTACAAAACAGTCACCATCATCAATCTAGTAACCACCCACCTGTCCTCACACACAGTTATTAAAACATTATTGACCATATTCCTTATGCTCTATATCATACTCCCATGGCTTATTTATAACTGAAAGTTTGTGCCTTTTAATCCCTTCACCTATTTCGCCCAGCTTCACACCTCTGGAAAACACTCATTTGTTCTTTGTATAAGTTTGTTTTTACTTTGTTTGTTCATTTGTTTTTTAGGTTACACATATACATCAGATTGTCTTTCTCCATCTAACTTGTATCACTTAGCACAGTATCCTCTAGATTCATCTATTTCATTATAAATGGTAAGACTTTATTTTCCTCTTTAAAATTGTTTTTTACTTTTTAATTTCATTGAAGTGTAGCTGATTTAAAAGGTTGTGTTCACGTCTGCTGTACAGAAAGTGACTCAGTTATATACATATTTAAGACTTCATTTTTTAATGGCTAATATTCCATTGTATATATACCATGTCTTCTTTATCTATTCATCTATCAATAGATACTTAGCTGCTTCCATATCTTGGCTATTGTAAATATTTACAATAATTACATTAAATAAATACATGTAAATATTGTAAATAATGCTTCAATAAACATGGGGGTAGATGTGTCTTTTCAAATTAGTGTTTTGTTTTCTTTAAATAAATACCCAGAAATGAAATTCCTAGATCATGGGATAGCTCTATTTTTAATTTTTTGAGGAAACTCCACTCCATTTTCCAAAGCACTGTTCCAATTTACGATCCTACCAACAAGGCAGGAGAGCTCCCTTTCTCCACATCCTTGCCACCATTTGCTGTTTATCTATTTGATGACAGCTACTCTGAGAGACGAAAGGGAGTATCTCATTGTGGTTCTGATTTTCATTTCCCTGATGGTTAGTGTTGAGCATCTGTTCACACATCTACTGGCCATCTGTATGTCTTCTTTGGAGTGCTTCAGTTTTTAAGAAACCTATTTTCCAGGGTAACTATAACATTTTGCATTCCCACTGGCAATGTATGAAAGTTCCAGTCTCTCTGCAACCTACTACACTTGCCACTGTCAGTATTTTATACATCAGATATCCCAGAGGGTGTGCAGTGGCATTCATCATTTTAATTTGCATTTCCCTAATGGCTAATGTTGCTGCCCCTCTCTTCAAGAGCTCAGGGATGTTCAAGTGGATACGTCAAGACGGAAGATATTTTACCTGTGACTGATCTTTTCTCTTCCAAGGAGCAAAAAGTCGAGTTGTCTGGTCAGTACCAACAGTGATGATAAATTCTCCTTCTGGATCCCACGATAGGTCTTGGACACCATCAAAGTGTCCTGAAATAACAATCTCTGGAGTCCACTCTTTCTGCAACGAAAGTGCTCACGATACATCAAAATAATCTATGTATTTTCATTCAAAATTAAGTCTGATAATGCCTTCAGTCCTCAGGTCTGATATGGAAAAGACCACAGCTCCCAAACAAGGTGAAAAGTTAAGTAAAAAAGATGGAAATTCACAGTAACAGGATCTGTTTTCCAGTCAAATAGATTTGAACTTAAACATTCAAATATGTGTTGTGTCCTTCAAAGCAGCTTCCTTGGGGAACTCCCCTCCATTCGTCATTTGTGAATGCCTCCTGGAACCCAGACATTACCCAATCTTTCTGTGCCTCAAATAACTCTTCTGTAAAAAGAGTTACCTAGCTCCTGCAGTCATTACGATAGTCAGATGAATTTATATTTACACAACACTGGCACATACTAGGTATCAATAATACACAAGTATTTATTTGTCAAACTAAATAATAAAGAGTACTGGGTAACACGAGCCTGTAGATTCTGAGTGTATGCCTGACCAGCTCTCTTTGCTAAGTAGAAAGCTGCAGGTGTAGAGGACAGAGGTTAAACTAAACCTAGTTAGTCTACCTCCTGAGGGAGCCAGCACCAGTAACCAGTACACAAATAATGAAATGAAATACAGAAAATGTCCACCAAGCATCTTTTGGAACAACTCAAGTGGTGTAAAACTTGAACTTTAAAGAAAAATCAAATCTGTATAAATAGCTAAAAGGTCATTCAAAGCCAACTCTGATGAATGTGGTTAAGCCATATTATTTTCTGGCCAAAAACATAAACAGGCTGGAACAAAGAAATGCTGTTAATTTCTTCTGTGATATAAAAATTGACTCTAAAGATAGCACTAATGGGAGTTCCCAAAAGATTCTGAAAAAAGTACAGCACTTTTGACTATCAACACAATTCTGAAGGGCAGCATCTGTTTTTAGAATTGCCCTTGATTGTAACAAATGTGTGGGATGCTGAGGGTGGAGGCAGCTGTGCATGCTTGGGGGGGCAGGGTAAGTGGGAGCTCCATTTTCTGCTCAACTTTTCTGTAAATCTAAAATTTCTCTAAAAAATACAGTCTATTAAAAAAATTACTCTATTTGGTAAACTATTATAAATTTGAAATCAAGTTATAAGCAAAAGTAAGTGAAATTCTGTCCTCTGGCCTGAGTAGAAGGGTTCCTCCCTACTCATCTGATGCTTTTTCAAATGAAGGCCCTCTAAGACCAGACAAAATATGGCTCAGAGAAGTTCTTAAGAACAAAATTAAATTTATCCTAAAAAAATTTTATTTGAAAGTGTCATAGATAATGATTCCCTGGTTCATTTAATAGTAAAAACAATCTTAAAGGTCAACTCCAAATGGCAGATACAAAGGAGAAAAGTGAATCACTGCATCTACTGAGAATTCAAATCCTTCTATATGACACAACTATTACAAAGCTCACAAACCAAAGGTCAAGCAAATTCATGAATCTGTACTTAAATTTAAGTATCACGCACTAATCAATTGCACCAGTCGGGATACACGAATTTTTACTTTGGAAGTGAAGCTACTAGATGCACATTCAAACTCTGCTGACTCAATTCTGCTCTATGTTCTGACTTCTTTCATTTATTTAAAATATATAGTATCAAATATGTATCAGGCCCTGCTTTTCACACTGTACAAGTATTACCTTATTTTAGCATCATAAAATCCCTCTCAGTTCAGTTCAGTTCAGTTGCTCAGTCGTGTCTGACTCTTTTCGACTCCATGGACTGAAGCATGCCAGGCCTCCCTGTCCATCGCCAACTCCCGGAGTTTAGTCAAACTCATGTCCATCGAGTTGGTGATGCCATCCAACCATCTCATCCTCTGTCGTTCCCTTCTCCTCCTGCCCCCAATCCCTCCCAGCATCAGGGTCTTTTCAAATGAGTGAGTTCTTCACATCAGGGGGCCAAGGTATTGGAGTTTCAGTTTCAGCATCAGTCTTTCCAATGAATACGCAGGACTGATCTCCTTTAGGATGGACTGGATGGATCTCCTTGCAGTCCAAGGGACTCTCAAGAGTCTTCTCCAACACCACAGTTCAAAAGCAGCAATTCTTTGGCGCTCAGCTTTCTTTATAGTCTAATTCTCACATCCATACATGACCACTGGAAAAACCATAGCTTTGACTAGACGGGACCTTTGTTGGCAAAGTAATGTCTGCTTTTTAATAAGCTGTCTATGCTGGTCATAACTTTTCTTCCAAGAAGCAAGCGTCTTTTAATTTCATGGCTGCAGTCACCATTTGCAGTGATTTTGGAGCCCAAGAAAATAAAGTCTGTCACTGTTTCCACTGTTTCCCCATCTGTTTGCCATGAAGTGATGGGACCAGATGCCATGATCTTACTTTTCTGAATGCTGCGTTTTAAGCCAACTTTTTCACTCTTCTCTTTCACTTTTATCAAGNTCATAGAGGATCCTGCTGTGATTTATGTCGGAGAGTGTTTTGCCTATGTTCTCCTCTAGGAGTTGTATAGTTTCTGGTCTTACATTTAGAAAAAATATGGAATGCTTCAAGAATTTGCATGTCATCCTTGTGCAGGGGCCATGCTAATCTTCTCTGTATCGTTCCAATTTTAGTATATGTGCTGCCGAAGCGAACACTAACTGTTGCTTTTAACCTCCATACAGATTTCTCAGGAGGCAGGTCAGGTGGTCTGGTAGTCCCATCTCTTTAAGAATTTTCCACAATTTGTTGTGGTTCACACAAAGGCTTTGGCATAGTCAATAAAGCAGAAGTAGATTTGAAAGCCATGGAGATCCCTAAACAGTGGCTCATAGACTTTAGAGTGCATTTAAATCCCCCAGAGGGCTGGGTTAAGGGCTGCATGGCCAGACCTTACCCCCAGAATTTCTGATTCAACAGGTCCAAGCTGCATCAGGGAGTGTGAACCCCCATCAAGTTCTCAGGACTAAGGGGTGGTTCCAATAGGGAGCCATACCAACCTCTGCTCCCAACAACATGTTACCCTGGCACCCTGGTTCTGGCGAGGATGAGCCCAGGAGTGTCTAAGCTCAGCACCCCTCCCACCTGCCTTGCCTGTGCACCCACTGCTCCTGTTTCCACCAACCAAATCCAAACCTTCTTCACTCAACCCCCCTTCTCTCCCTGACCACACCCTGTGGCTCCAACCTCCCCCTTGCCTGAGAAAACTGTAGCCTCCAGTTAACTCTCCAGAAAAAAAAAAAGAAAAAAAAAAACTACACACAGAGATATACACAAAAATATCCTTTACAGAGTGGTTGTAATTTCAAATGACTGAAAACAACCTATCTCCCTGTGGATGAGAAATGGTTGAATGACTTTGACATATGTCTACCACAGAATATTATGCAGCAGTTGAATAAGAAGATGGTTCTGAAGGTGCTAAGGTGAATTATTCCCATTACATTAAGAAGAAAAATGCAAGCTGCAGAACAATATGGACAGTGTGATCTCATTCAAAAAAAGAAAATTAAAGAAATACACAGCAAAAATTGTATATTTCTACAGTCAATGTTTATTTATAGATAGAAACAAAAGACACAAGATTAAAAACAAGATTAAAAGAATTGACCATCTCTGGACAGGAAACTAGGATGGTAATGTGATCAAGGAGAAATTGTATTTCATCTATATTGCTTGGAGGTTTCAAGCACATGTTCATGTATAACTTGAATTATTAAAAAATAAAAGTATAGACAACGGAGGCTGAGTGATGATAGGGCCTCTGCCACCTGTGTCCCTAAGTTCTGCCTTTTCTTCCATCTCAAAAGAAGATGGACCTGGAGATTATCACACTAAGTGAAGTAAGTCAGACAGAATAAGACAAATATATGATATTGTTTATATGTGGAATCTTAAAACTATGACACGAATTAACTTATTCACAAAACAGAAACAGACTCACAGACTTAGAGAACAGGGATGGGGTAGGCATAGAGACAGATCAGGAATTTGGGATGAATATATACACACTGCTATATTTAAAAAAGATAATCATCAAGGACCTACTGTATAGCACAGGGAACGATGCTCTATATTCTGTAATAACTAAATGGGAAAAGAATTTGAAAAAGAAGAGCTACATATGTCTGTATAACTGAATCAGTTTGCTGGACTCCTGAACCTAATACAAAATCGACTATTTACTTTGTAAATCAACTGCACTCCAATATAAAATAAAAATTGAAAAAAAGCAACTGGACAAACGACCTCTCTTCTTTCCAAGATTTATTTTTATTCCAAGAGCCAAGTGATCCCTGACACTGAATGCAACATCTCCCCCACACCTTTCTCCTTCCACTGGTGTGTTCTCCCAACCCCACCGCCAGCTGCTCCTGCTGAGTATGGTCAAGTCTCTGCGTTTCTAGACGTCTGCTTGACTCTCCCAGTATAGACCATCTGAGCTGGATACTTTTCTTCAACGAGACTCTGTCTTCATAACAGAAATGGACGTTTTATAAGCATTGCTTCTTCCAATGAATTTTCTATCAACACCTTAACGGGAATTACATGGAAATGAGGAGTCAGTTGGGAAGAGATGTCCCAAGCTTCTGACACCTGTGAAGATTCTGCATTTACCTAAACCTTCTTTTACATCTCTGGGGAAATGCTTCCATTACTTAGATCCTACACCTATTTTATCAGACTCACCACTAGAGATTTTGAGTTCTTTGATATGCAAATAACATCTCCATTTGTGCTGTATTTCCTAATTAAGAACTGCTTGTGTGTGGAAAGGTTATCATTGTAAAAAATTTGAGCCACCTTATTAAACTCTTATTCTCTGAGATTTGATCATCTTGAGTTTACTCACATGCTGTCCTAAAATGGTCAACTTTGAGTACAGTTTTCCAAAAGTATCTTCTTATTTATAATTCATATCTTATTTAACAGACCCCAAGACAAAGCAAATCATAATTATGATAGGCATCTAGCTTGTTCTCTTTTTGTGTTTTTACAAAATAACTATAATTACATATAATTCATCTGTACAAAGATGAATGTTTACTAGAGTGCATGGCCAAAAAAATCACTCCTTTTTCTCCCCTAGTTTTTGTTTTAGAATAAAAAAAGTGAATGTTGATTTTCATCAAATTACTTCAGCGTCTTTTGGGCTGCATTTTTTTACATCTTAATATTAACCTTTTGTTCTTGGGACACATGGTACTTGATCCTAGTGAGTGATCAATTTCATATAGGATTTGAGTTGTTATTTTTGTTTCTTCATTAAGATTTTTTGCATCTATAGCAGGCACTTGAAAATCATGAGATATGTCTGAGATTATCACAAAATACAGCAAAAAGTCATGGATGTGGATTTATCACCTTTATTTTTCAGTAATGTTAGTGTGACTTCTTGGCTTTCTTACGAATCATATATGAATCTTATGGCATTTGTTTCTCAGGAACACAACTTTATAATACAGAAATGGTTGCCATTCTTGTTTGAGGTTTCTGAAAACAGACCCCGAGTTGAGGATTTGGCTGCAGGTAGGGCTTCCCTGGGATTCCCAGGTGTGGCACTAGTGGTAAAGAACCAGCCTGCCAATGCAGGAGACATAAGGGATGCGGGTTCAATCCCTAGGTTGGGAAGATCCCCTGGAGGAGGGCATAGCAACCCACTCCAGTATTCTTGCCTGGAGAATCCCCATGGACAGAGGAGCCTGATGGGCTACAGTCCATGGGGTTGCAAAGAGTCAAACACAACTAAAGGGACTAGCACACAAGAACGCACACAAGGTATTTGAGATCTGACCCCAGGATGCCTGAGTAGGAGTAGGGGAGGAGGACAGGAAGAGAAGCCAAGCCAAGGAAGGCCCAATTAGGGAGCAAGTGATTCATGTGAACAATTTGGGATTCACCCAGCTGGGAACATTTGAGAAAGACTGAGGACACACCTAGACCAATGGGAAAGTTGAGGGCTGCCCTGGGAGCATGAGATCCCACCTCCCCTGGTCTGTCTGCTCTGCCAGCAGGAGAAGTGAGCACCCAGTCCCTGGGTACCAGAGGTGCTGGTGGGCGAAGTGTAAGGAGGGGCATCTCCACCCAACCCGCTGAACACAGGAGATGCTGACAGCATTAAGAATGTCTGCTCCAAACAGCACTCTCACAGTGGCTTTTTCAAAGTTTAACTCCCCATTTTATGAGAGACTTTTGCTCCAGTGAAAGTATTCATTAAACTTTCTCCAGCTAGTTTCCCTCCAAATTATTTACATATATGATGATGCTGTTTGGGTCAGTGATGCTGATGAATAAAAATTTAAGGGAGACTATAACTGGTTCCGTGAGTGCCTTCATTCCTAACATCCTGCTGTTTCAAGGCACCCATGCTGCTAAATCGCTTCAGTCATGTCCGACTCTGCGACCACATAGACGGCAGCCCACCAGGCTCCCCTGTCCCTGGGATTCTCCAGGCAAGAGTACTGGAGTGGGTTGCCATTTCCTTCCCCAATGCACAAAAGTGAAAAGTGACAAGGAAGTCACTCAGTCGTGTCCAACTCTTCACGACGCCATGGACTGCAGCCTACCAGGCTCCTCTATTTATGGGATTTTCCAGGCAAGAGTACTGGAGTGGGCTGCCATTGCTTTCTCCGAAGGGAGCCATAGGTACAAGTAAATAGCTCCAATTTTCAAGAGGACTAAGTCAGTGTCTTAGTTTTGTCCCCAAAGAGCCCATCCAGAGCCAGCCAACCTTGTATGTTCCCATCCTGGCACTGCTCATCCCAGACCCTCAGCCTGACTTGGTGAC